GCCCCCCACCCCCACCCCCCTACTCCCTGGGGCAGCCCTAGGCTTAGACCCTGCGATTGCGGAGGCCACTGTGAGCTGGTGAACCAGAGCAAGGCCTCCAGGCTTCTCCAAGTCCTACCGCCTGCCTGGCCCCCAGCCCGAGTCTCTAGACGAAAATTAGGGGAAGGAGGAACAGTGAAGAGGGAAGGGTGAAGCTGGTTGCAGAACTTCATGTCCACTTGGAGGAAGTTACGAAACAGAAAAAAAGGCACCCGGGGCCCTGGTTTGCACGATTAATTCGGATTCTGGTCTTCTGAAGTAGCTAGGCCAATAAAATTTAACCACCCCGCACTCCATGGGGCAAGAAGAGGCTGGGGGAAGAAACTTCAAGGTGGGGACACAGCAAATTAGTGTCTGGTGGGATGCTAGGTCCCGAGTCTCCTGTCACACACTGAGACTTAACTCATCCATCTCACAGGTCCTGCAGGAGATGGCACCTACGTCTGATCTGGAAGGGCTAAGTCAAGGGATTTCAAAGGACAGAAGAGGTAAGAAGGGGGAGGGGAAGCAGGGTGGCCTCCCTAGAAGGAGGAACAGCATGAACAAAAAGCAAGGAGGTGTAAAATAGTAGGACAAACTCTAGGAACAGGGGCGAGCTTAGTGTGGCTACACTTGATGGAGAAAGTTGGGGCCTAGGTGGAGGGCTAGAGCACAGCTGAGCAGGCTGGGCTATATCAACTGTAGAGGCAGGGGGTTTTTCAACAAAGGAGAGACCCACAACATCACCTCCCTACCTAAGACTGGAAGCTGTTGGAGAGCCAGGATTCTGTCTTATCTCAGCATCTTGAAGATCTAGCACAATGCCTGACACTATGCAAGAATCTGTAAATGACCAGAGAGTTCACCTAAATGTTCAGGAACTCAGTTGGAACTTTCTGGGGTCTCCTACCTCAAACTCCAGACTCCACTTTAACAACCATCCAACCAAACCCATGCAGCCAGCTGTAACTGAGCCCTGATGTTTTCACCTATGATTCAGAAGTTAAGAATCCAGGTCCCTATATGGATACCACAGATAGAAAACCAGGTCAAATAAGACATTATGCAGCGGACCCCTAGAGCCCATCCTATAGAGAACAGCTCATTCAAAGGACCAAAGTGCTTCCTTCACAGTGGATTAGCTGCACACAATGCCCAGCTGCTTTGTTTTGTTTTGCTTTTGTTTCTCAGCTCTAAGGAACTGAACTGACAACAAGTAAATAATTTTTCCACAGTGGGATCCCATGGGAGAAAGTAAGTTATTTTGATCATTGGTTTAGTGTTATCGAACAGAAAGAGTTCATCCACCCGGCACTAGCAGAGCCAAACACCGAAAATTGCAATTAAGAAAGATTGGCTATTTTATTATGAATGGCACTACCCAGGAGAATGAGAAGCTAATGCTAAAAAAATTAAAAAAAAAAAAAAATCCCGATCCCTGATGGCATGTAGGTTACAGATTACAGAGGGCAAAACCATAAGACACTGTGGGTTACGGGGTTCAGGGTCTTGCTGGGAGCTGATTGGTTAGAGGTGAGGTAAGGGTGATAAATCATTTATTCAGGTCTTGAGGACAGTTCTGAGATCCATTCCAGCGTCCCTCTGTCTGGTTTCATGGGAAACTAGCCAGGGAATCTTTCCAGCTGAGGGTTCTGGAGCTGAAACATAACTTAGGGCAAGATGTTGTCTTTAGCCTGCCAGAGGTCCAGACCTGTGACCATTCTGTCCAGCTACTGTCTTCTGCTGCCTGGGGCGTTGCTGATTATCCAGGGGACAGGCTAGGTCTCTGAAGGGTATAGAAAGAGATGATTTCTAGAGCTAGAATTTAAAGCTAAATGTAATCAAAATTCATGAAGACCCTCAGTTTCATTAGGGCTCCAGTCTGGAAGTTTTTTCTTTTTCATTCTCTCTCTTTTTTTTTTTTTAAGTTGGCCTATTAGAAAACTCTTATCTGAATTTTTCTTTTTTTAGTCAAAACCTTTTATAGCTGTATTATTAATACTGCTTTCCTTGGTCTTAACATAGGCTGGAAATCTTGGCGATATTCTTAAGCTTGAAATATTTTAAGAAATCAAACAATTAAAAGTTTGTATCATGTATTTAAAAAAAACAAAAAACTGAAATACAAAGAATCAGGAAGAAGGGTTTAATTCACTCATTTTCTGGTTCTCAGACATATTATCTGAGGTGTTCTAAGCTTGAATCCCAATATCAAAATAATCCATAAAAATATTCAGTTGGTAAATATACCAAAGTAAACAAATAGAAAAATCCGTGTTCTGTAACAAGTTCTTTTCGTGGTTTTCATTTTTTTGGTCCAAGATACTTTCGTCCAATGTAAGCTCTGTGGAGACTGGTTACTTCAAAGATTGCTCTACTAACAGGATAAACTTTTCCAAACTAGGTGATGTGCTGGTCTCCTCCCTTCCCAGTACACCCCCACTGGAAAGCAAGGATAAAACTGATTGCCTATGAGAACAAATCATTTTAATAATTAACTTTATTAACATAGATTCATTGTATGACAGACACCTACACCAGTGAGAGAGGGAAATTATCTTTGAGACAAAAGAAGGGTGTTAATCTATCTCCAATCTTCAGCTTAATTTATTTCATCTTTATTTTGTCCAGTGTCTCCTATAGATCTATAAATCAGCCCCCAACTCCTCCCAGAGAAGACCAGACTGGAATGTTCATTAGATTTTAGCGCCACCTTGTGACAATCTTTACAGGCTGGTTTGGTTGGGTTTTTTCCCTTAAAAAAAAAAAAAAGGTATATACATATGATTCTAAAACACCTTATCTAACCTAAAAGCAAGCACGTTATGACTATTTTTACTTTGAGATCGTTCATGGAATGTAAAACCCTAGAGGATGTTTTACAAAATTATTTAGAAATTCTTTACATATATACTTATACACACATAACTCTTTTCCTATGCTCTTTAAAAAAAATAAATTCGTAGTTAAATAGTAACTTATAAAAGAGATTAGAAGGAAGAGATAAAGACTACGGAACCTTGGTAGTTTAGATAACAATGGACTTCATTGTCCCCTAATTATAATGTACAGAAATGTAAAACAACTTCAACCACAAAAATCATCTGCTCTTTTTTCACAGTTAAGAAAGCCATTATTGGATATTCTGGTATACTTAGAAGTAATAATTCATTTACCAATAAGCATTTACTGAGAGCCATTCCCAACAGCCATTTGATTTTTAATATTTTTCTAATCTAAGGAGTGAGTAGCTTAAAGTCTCTAGGAAAATTGTCAACCTCCATCTCACTTGCAATGAGTTGTGAAAAGGGACAGGCTCTTCTAGAATGAGCCATACTGTTTCTCATGGAAAACCCAACATAGTCCCACCTGCTTAGTTTGGGG